TAGTTTTACATTAAAATTTTAATTGATGGATAGCTAGGCTGGTTCTGTAATTTGACTATTGTGAATTATGATGCTAATAGTAAACATGGGTGTCCATGTATTGTTGTAGAATGATGACTTAAATTCTTTAGGATAAATACTGAGGAGTGGTCTGGATCATATGGTGGTTCCATTTTTAGTCTTTAGAGGACTGATATTGATTTTCATAGTGGTTGTATTAATTTACAATCCCACCAACAGTGTAAAAGTGTTCTTTTTCTTCTACAACCTCTCCAGAATTTATTATTACTTGTATATTTGATGACTAAACTTCTGACTGGTGTGTGATGAAAACTTAATGTAGTTTTGATTTGCATCTCCCTAATTGCTAAAGATTCTGAACTTGGGGGAGGGGGTGTGGTGGTGGCCATTTTTATTTCTTTCTTTGAGAGGTGTCTGTTTAGTTCACTTGCCCCTTTATTAATTGGGTCATTTGCTTTTATGGTGCTAAGATTTTGAGTTCTTTATATATTCTGGATATTAATCCTCTGTCAAAAGAGTGAGTAGAAAAGATTCTCTCCCATTCTGTGGGTTCTCTCTTCACATTCTTGTTTGCTGTGCACAAGACTTTTAATTCGATACCATCCATTTATTGGCATTATTTCCTCAGTTTTTAAGGGTCTGTCATGATTTAGATATTAGGTGTTCTCCAAAAGCTCCTATGTGAGACAATGCAAGAACATGCAGAGGTGAAATGATTGGGTTACTAGATCCTCACCCAGTTAGTGAATTCATCCCCTAATAGGGATTGACAGAGTGGTCACTGGAGCAGGTAGCCTGTGGCTGGAGGAGGTGGACATTAAGGATGTGCCTTTGGGCTATATATTTTTTCCTTGGTCACTATATATTTGAACTACTATACTTCCACAAGATATTACCAGAAACTGGCATTCCAACTCTGCTATTTTCAAAAGTTCTTCCAAACACCCCTCCATGGATCACCTTGGTCCAGTGGTTCTCAATTTTTCTTGTCTGATCATTGTTAAGTGCTCAGCATGCTAAGGTGTATTTTATTTTTCATGGGCACCATCTTGATTCCCCCACAAAGGCATAAACCCTTTGTAATAAAACTCCATTCCTTATATTTTTCTGAGTATTCCCACGATAATTAGTGCAGTGATTTTCCTAAGGTCACTAAACAAGCAGTGATATTTAACACACCGTTGGTCCTTAAGTATCCAGGAAGGGAGTCAGTGAGTCAGTCAGACTGTGTTAGTAGTGAGTGGTGTCAAAGAAAATCAGAGCCAGACAGTACCTAAAATAGCAAAATGGATTTTATTTATGAAATATTTCAATAGGGAAAAAGAGATCTCAGTTTAATACTGGCCTTAATTTGGGGGGTGGTACTCGGGGATGCTTTACCACTGAGCTACATCCCCAGTCCTTTTTTTTTTTTTAATTTTGAGACAAGACCTTGCTGAGTTGCTGAGGGTCATGGGTCTTTCTAAGTTGCTGAGGCTGGCCTCAAACTTAGACCCTTCCCACTCTTCCCACTTCAGCTTCCTGAGTCACTAGAAATTGTGGACATGTAGCACCACTCTTGCCTTTTGATACAATATGGGGCAGTGAGGACTTATAATTATGAAACAAAGTTGGGGAATTATCAGGATAAAATGTTATTAAGAGGAAACATTGGGGGGCCAGGGGGGCAGGGTTCATACTAAAGAGATCTAACAAGATTCTTGCTGAAGGCAGCCTGGGATAATTAGACATCCATCACCTGGGGAATGGCAGCAGAAAAGGAATTTGCCAGATATTGGGGGTTCTCAAATGTCAAGAGTGGGGATTCTTCTAAACTGAACTTGCTATAGGGGGCCAATACAGGCCCAGGAAGTGTGGACACGGAAGCCCAGGATCATTTGAGAAGCAGACTTAGAGGAGCCTGTCTGAGGTTTGGTCAAGGAGAGCAATTTTTTCAGTGAGAAAGTGAATAGAATGAACATCAGGATCACAATTTCATTTGGTCTTCCTGCCAAAACATGAATTCCAAAGTAGCAGAAAACCTTGTTTATGGGCAGGATGAACTCTGCAAGGTTTAAATCCCCAGAGATTTCCAGAAGCATTTTGTAAGTCATGCATCATACAAAGCCCTGCACATAATGAGAGCAAATTACAAAGTTAGGTGAAAAAGTTTTTGCTCCCTCTGATGAAAGAGAAGAGTAGTCTCCTGGGATCTCCTAACCAGAACCAAACCTCTAGAGCTAAAGGAACTTAAGCTCTGATAATAATCAGACAGTATCTCTAAACTGATAGAAAGGAAGTCTCTACCCATTCTATTTTAGTGGGTGGTTAGGACTGATCACTGCACATATGGCCAAGCCCCATGCCTCACATCGAAAGGATTTTATGGAACCATAAAATCCTGAAGCTTTTACAAACTCTGAATCCTCTCTCACTTCCCAGCTGGGAAAATTCAAATTCAGCAGGTGCAGTGATTTTCCTAAGGTCACTAAACAAGCAGTGATAAAAGTAAGAATTCAGACTCAGGCCAGCACTTTTCATACGAAGTCAATTTCTCCTTTCTGAGTGGAAAACGAAACATGCTTCCATCCTCACTGTGGAGACTGTCAGTTGGAGGAATGTAACTGTGATGGTGACTTGGTGTTGGAGGTTAAGAAAATACACAAGGTAGGAAACTGTTCCAGGTGGATTGACTCTCTTCTGGTCATAATCAATTGTGATCACTAAAAGAAAGAAAAGGAAAGACCTGTCTTAGAATTTGTATTGACGATTGTTTGCATTTTTAAAACACTGCTGAATTTATTGATGGCTTTGAAAACAACTGCCACAACCTGGTTGTGTAGGAAGGGGTAGTTTATGCTGTGTGAAATCAGACTGTTTTCACATAGTGTGTTAGAGAGATCATGGGTTTTGATCCAAGGACTTCAGAGATCAAAACAGCTCTTCATTTTGCCAATATGTTCTATTTTTCTTTTGATACTCTTAATCTTTTAGTTCTAGAGTCCACATAATTGCCTCTCTGGTAGATTTGCTATCTACAGTCGAGCATGCTTAAAAGCTGTGGTGTGTGAAGTTTTCTATGGATGAGATGAGTTTTTCACAACAGTTGAGGAAAAACAGAAGGGACCTGTTGGGACCTAATATATCCTGGAGGGAAAGGATAGTTTTGAAAAAGCCCAGAATGCTGCAGAAAACTGATTATCAGGGAAAGTGCAACAATAATCTGCAAGTGGATCTGGAAACCAGGAAGACTCAGATTAAATTTGGATGCTAAGGAGGTTTATGCTAAATAGCCTCAGGAGAAAACCCAAGGTTCTATAATATACCTTTACGCAAGAGAAGAGAAAAATACTCCGATCCTCCCTCCGAGATGATTACACAGATACTCACAGACAAGAGGGTGGGGCTACCATGGGAGAAAGGGAGACTGGAAGGAGAAGTCCTAGATAGGAGGTAAGGAAAAATTAGGTCATGTGATTCATGCATGCCTATGACAGCGTCTAGACAGGTCTGAGAGAACAAGAGAATCAAAGGAACTTATAAGATACTGTTCATGGGGTTGTGGATCATCCCTGGAACCATTATAATTGACACCATTTTCCCACACGGCTTGGCTGTCGGTGATCAGTGGGATTCTGCCACGAGAATGCTTAATCTTAACCAAAACTAAACCTAACTGGAGTGGAAAGTTTGTTCATCCACATATTCAAAAGTTACATTGCAGAATAACAAAGAAAACCAGAAACTGTGCATAGATTAAGCACTTTTGAAGATTATTACCTTATCCTTCCAACATTTACTGAGAATTATTATCTTCTTAAACTGTCTTATCACCTTGAGAAATACAGAAAAATATAGTTTGGCCTCTTTCCTCAAGGAGAAAGCACCAGTAAATGTAAAAGTATATTCAATTAAAGACAAAGTAGCTTGATTTTAGCCACGAATATAACTAAGGAAAATAATTACAGCTGCCCCCACACATTTTCACAGTTGTCCTAGGTACTTCATATTTATGATGTGAAAAGAAAAATCAATAAACATTTGAAAGAATTTGGAAAAAATGATATAGACTCTATAAATACTAGTTATTAAATATACTGTCATGTGGGGAAGGTAAAACAGTAGCCCAATGTAATACAAAGCTGGATGTATACAATATTAAGACAACTTGTTGCAGAAGTCAGAGAAGGATGAGAGTAAATCATGTGTAAACTCTTGAAGAGTTTATACAATGACAAATAGCCTTTATCATGTTTGGAAGTTGATCTTGGCATTGAGGAAATGGACAAAATCTCATTTGCCACCTGTTCCACATTTGCATAATGAGTCTGATTAGTAACACCCATCACATGTTCTAATTAATCACTATTAATCCTAAGAGTCAGATGTGTGTAATATCTGCCTTCCTTCTCTCCCCTCAGAGTAGCAGTAAGGAAGCATGTTCTTTCATTTATTTTAATACTGAAGGGATTAAATATCTTCAGAAAGGTAATAATGGCTGAGTTTCTCCAGCAATTATAAGCCATCATCCAGATTTAGTCCTCAAAAGACTAGAAAAATCAGTTCTTAATCTTTCCTCAGTAGATGTCAATAAACCACGTGTTATATGGAAGTTGCTGTGTTGGATCTTGACTCTAGTGACCACTAAGTGTTTTTTCCAGTGTTAAAAATCTTATCTAAATGTGGCTCTCCCAATGAACTTCATTTGGACTATTTTCTCCCTTACTATACTACTAGCAAATAAAATTCTCTTAAAAAAATAAGTCAGAGTATGCCTTGGTCTCATAAAAAGTGCTAAACAATTAGTTGCTGAATAAAAGAATTAATGCAGAGAAGAAAACACATCATCTATATATGCATGTTTTTGCTAAATAAAAAAGCAGTTGGTAACTGTAGCTCTGATGATTTGCTTGATTCACATTATTACAATTTTCATCTGCGGATATCAAAGAAGAATGGAGAATTGAATGCTTATTTTTTTTTCCAATTTCAGACAAACAATGAGGATCAATCAGACAGTCCTGAAGGAATTCATCTTGGTTGGCTTTTCTGCTTACCCGAATGTACAAGCCTTTCTCTTTGTGATCTTCTTTTGCCTCTACCTGTTCACCCTGGCAGGTAATCTGACCATCATGGGACTAACTTGGGTGGACAGATTTCTCCACACCCCTATGTACCTCTTCCTGAGTGCACTCTCCTTCTCCGAGACCTGCTACACCTTGACTATCATCCCCAAGATGCTGGCAGATCTACTGTCCAAGAGCAGAGGCATTTCAGTCACAGGTTGTGGCTTGCAAATGTGTTTCTTTTTGGGACTTGGGGGTACGAACTGCATCATCCTCACTCTGATGGGGTACGACCGCTTCCTGGCCATCTGCAACCCTCTCAGGTATCCCCTCCTGATGACCAATGTTGCATGTGCACAACTCGTGGCCTCCGCTTGGGCGGGAGGCTTCTTTGTCTCCCTGATAGAGACTGTCCTGATATTCAGGGGTTCTTTCTGCTCACCAAACCTCATCAAACACTTCTTCTGCCACATGCGGGCAGTCGTGAGGCTGACCTGTAGAGACAGCGACCTCACGGAATTCATCGTCACTGTGATCTCAGTGTCAGGCCTGCTGGGCACTTTCCTACTTATCCTCCTGACATACGTGTTCATCCTTTCCACCGTCCTCAGAATCCCCTCAGCTGAGGGCAAGCAGAAAGCATTTTCCACCTGTGCCTCTCACCTCACCGTGGTCATTGTCCACTTTGGTTTTGCATCTATTGTTTATCTGAAGCCAGAATCCTCGGGGGGAGACGACACACTCATGGCTGTCCCTTACACTGTCATTACTCCTTTCCTCAGCCCCATCATATTCAGCCTCAGGAACAAGGACATGAAGCAGGCTTTTGGAAAGATCATGAGAAAGACAGATGCCTTGAAAAAGTAACCTTGGATCATTGCTGCTGATTTAAAGTATGGCTTAATGTCCCCCAGAATATACCAGGACATTTACTAAGTGGCCTCCAGACCAAGTCCCAGAGGGGCCTATACCATTTGCTCCCTTTTCAGCAATTGGGATATGGAAAACCAGTGATTGGGAATGGAACCTACACCGTGTCAGGCAGGCCCTCTGTTGAAAAGGAAATTATCCTCCCTCTACTTTCCACTATCAGAGGAAGAACCCCTCTGTCGACAAGAGGATTCTGGCAGTCGACTTCTGGGTGTCCCGCACCATCAGTAAGTGAGAAAAGAAAGGATACAAAAGGAAAAACACAACTTCTGCACTGAGAGATTTCTTCAATATCTGAAAATGTAAATGTTGGATTTTTTCTGGGGGAAATTGTAATGCATTGTATTGCACTTTCCAGGAGATAAACCGTTTCTGTCGAGAGACATATAAAAACCATCAACTGGCTACTTGTACCTATCTGGATGTTTGCATGCATACACAGACAACAGATATACACACATATATACATATGTGTTAAGTGTTCATGCTCCACTGATTACTGAGTATTTTTAATAACACCCTGATCATGACTGTGGCCTTCCAATGCCTGCCTTCTGTGTATATGGGAAATCTTGAAGCATGTTTCATCTGAGCAAACAAGACACAAATGCCTACAAGTTCAATGAAATAGGGCACCAGGGATGTGAGAAATGTGTCTCCATTTTCTACAGCAATATTCAAAAGCAAATGTTAACGAGCTTTGTCATGATATTGAGTTATTTCACAAAGTATTTGGAAATAATTTTATCAAGGTATAAGATGTGTAAAGGGGAAACCAGAAGATTACATCATCAATTTTTCATGTTACCAGAAACCAAAACAGAAACACTGTGAAGTTTAAATCACAGAATAGTGAGTGATTGTACTGAAAATCGAGACATAAATGCTTAGTGAATTTACCAAATCCTTTCTCAGTTATGCTGTTAACCAACTCTGTGGTTTCTATGAAAGTTATAAATTTTGTGGTGGGACTTGGTATAAATAAAATTTAAGTGAGAACTATAGGAGTAATTTTTAACTCTACTGTATAACAGGATTGTTATGAAGATCAATAAGATAATAGATGAAAATAGCTATGTGTATCAGCTGATTAAGTTTACCTTCTACTGTGACTCTCTTTCCTTACCTGGGATATTTTTCATGACACAAGTGCAGCCAGAATCTATGCTATAGATCTATCTGTAGTCACTGCTTGCAGTAGCAAGAATGTTTCTTTTCCTTTGGCTTCACTCCTGACAATGTGTTATTCAATCTAGGGAAGATACAATCTTGAAAACAAATTATAACAATTTACTGTCTCATGGAGGGGGGCAAAGACTCACAACTGGAGGATGTTATCCTAGGTGAAATAAGTCAGACATAAAAAGACCAATATTGCATATTCTTTCTCATATATGGAAGCTAATGAAATCTATCTCAATGTAGAATTGTGATTACTAGAGTCTGGGAAAGGGGAAAGGGAGGAGGAATAGAGAGAGGTTGGTAAGAGGGACTCAAACTAGTTGGAAGGGTTGGGGCAGTAGCTCAGTGGGAGACCAGCTCCCTAGCATGCACAAGGCCATGTGTTTGACCTCTAGCACCTCAAAAAATAAAATACAATAAAAATAAAACTCAGATGGAAGAAGTTCACGTGTTCTACAGAACTTTGTGGGTAACTACACAACAACATGTTATATATTGTATGAATAACTGTAAGAGAAGAGTTCAAAGGTTCCCAGCATATAGTAATCAAAGAGATGGAGGCATTGACTGCCCATATTTTATCAAGACTCTGCATATGTACTAAGATAAATACCCCATAAATAAATAAAATGATTTTATCTCCCTAAAAAAATGTTTAAGGAGATGAAAATATTAGCTCTCCTGATTTGGTCATTATATATTTTATACATATGTTGAATTATCACACTGCACCCTATAAAATGTATGATTAAAATTATAATACATAAATAAGTAAAGTCTAGACTTAGGCTTCTGAACCTGAATTTAGATGAATTAACCTGTTTTTGCTTGGTGTATTGACTGTGGGCAGGGATTGTTAATTACCTACTTAATATCCATGGATAAGCTAGAAATAGCTACATGGAAACTGGAAATACCCAAAGAATTACTCATATATGGGGACTTGACACATACAGAATTACAAAACACTGAGAAAAAATGAGACTTTTAGTAGCAGGGGCTAATAAAATAACATCTCCAGATGGGGGAAAATGTGACAAAGCTATTTCTTACTGTTAAAAACTAAACTCGAAAGGTAAAACAATAACTTTTTAAAAAGGCAATCTAGCCAGGTGTGGTGATGCAGGTCTACAATCCCAGCTCCTCTGGAAGGTAAGTCAGGAGGGTGACAGGTTAGAGTCCAGCCTGGGCAGCTTAGTGAGACCCTATATCAAAATAAAAAATTAAATAAAAACAACTGTTTGTAGCTGAGTGTTATAGCGCCTGCTTAGCATGTCTAAGAACCTGCATTCAATCCCAAGACTGCAAAAAATATACAAGTAAAAGGCAATATAAGAAGATATCTTCACCACCTGAAAGCAAGAAATATTGTTTAAACTTTCATTAAAAACTTAGTTAAAATTGAAAGATTTTAAATCAAAATCGAAAATTTATTCATCCAAAAAGCATAACTGAGCGAGTGGAGAGGCAAGCCACAGAATAAAACCACAAAGGTATTGAAGGAACCGACGAGTGTCAATTTCAGGATAGTGATGGCTTTGAACAAGGGGTCAGTTGATAGCAGGACTCATGAATGAACTCCTGGCTGCAAAGTTCTGCTTATTTAAGACCTAAGTAGTGACTGGAATGGTTATTTCTTAATGAGAGAATCACTAAGTATTTGTTTGAATGAATTTATGTATTTATGTTTTATTTTACAATGTGAAGATTTAACAAAGCATTCCACAGAATGAAAGAAAATGTATATAAACATATATATACACATATATATATACACATATATATATATACATACACTATGTACATATGTATATACATATATATAAAATGTATGTGTACATATGTATATATCTATATATTCCCCATCAAAATCACTTAAAAGACTCTAGAGATATGAATAGATTCTTCATAAAAAAATCTAAAACTTCAGTAAATATCTGAAAGTGTTCTCAATCTACACATGAACAATAAGATCGAAGTTCAGTACCAACACACACCCATTTGAAGGGCTAAAATTGAAAGGCTGGAATGACATGAAACTGTGGAAAAACAAATCTCTCTGGTGCTTGTGACAAAGTGTATATTGGTTCAATCATTTAAGACAATCATGTGGTTCTCAGTCACAGAAGAGATGCATTAAGGCATATCCTTATGGATCAATCTGCAGTGAATAAAGATGATAAATTATGGCTATATGTTCAGGATACATGTGAAACCCACCACCCCTTTTTCTTGTTTCTTATTTATGTCCTTGTTTTCTTCAATAATCTCACAGATTACAGTTGAAGGACTGTGTGTTTGACCCAATCTCTCATTAGAATTTTCTAAATTTTGACAAAGGAATTCCTTTAATGAGAAGTGAAGAAAGGAATTTTCTTTTCAATAAGCTGAATAATAAGACATTAATGAAGGAACAGAAGAGAAGATAAATGCCCTCTATTTGCCAACTTAATGTGAAAAGTGTTCTTCTGTCTATTTTGTATATTACTAAATAATTTATTCAATTCAAGATATTACAGTAGCCATGGAGAAAACAAAAACACAATGTATGGCTTCTGCTCTCAAGAAACTCACATTCTACTTTTGGAGAGGCCAGGAAATCATGATGTAGTCTGGAATAAGATTTGCCCCAAGATTTAAGGGAGCAATGAAGAAATACAGGATCTACACAAGGTCATTAGCAAGCTCAGCTCTACAGGTTACACTGCATGCCTCAGTAGCATTTCAAAAGCTCTCTAAAGACAACCAGGGACAGACTCACTGAGGTCAGAACAAATCTCAACTACTGACCTTAAACACAATCCCTGTGAAGAAAACCAAACTTGATGGTAGTATTGTGTATAGAAATTTTTGTTCTAAGACATTTTTGAAATAATTGGGCAGGCTTTCTGTCACCCCCCTCCCCTTAAAAGTTAGGTACATCAGGAATAGGATAGCTAAAGTGAGAATTGGGTACTTGCGTACCCAAGTTTCTATTTTCTAAGAAACAACATCAGAAACTTCAGGAATGTGGAAAAATAAAGACTTAGCTAATATAATGCAGTCAGTCAATAAATAAATAAATAGCAAGGGATAAAATCAAGACTGGGGGTGTCTTGCAGTGGGGCTGGGCAGAGTATCTACAATGTGTTATATAAAATATCCAGTTACTAACAAAAAAAATTGTTATACTAAGAGGAGAGTATGACTCATTTCTAGAAAAATCCAAGAGACAGAAATTGCCTGTGAGAGTGGCTAGAAGTTATGTTCAAAAGGCAAAGCGCTTCAAAGTAGTCATTATAAATACATTACAAATTCTTTCAAAGATCTGAAGCAAACCACGATTACATAAATAAATGAAGGTATCATGAAAATGTCACATCTGACACAGAACACTAATAAATCATAAATGAGTTACAGATAAGAAGTAAAAATGATTAATTAGAATCAAATGGAAAACTCACGAGTTGCAAGTACAACCACAAAAATAAAAAAGCAATGCACTGCAGGCACTCAATAATAGATCTGAACCAGAAATAGAAAACCTGAGATTGCTTCCTGTCTTGCTCTGTGACCTCTTTTACATACATGCTCCCACTAAAATGTCATCCACCAGGTAGTGATGTAGCCAGAGGCCCTCACCAAAGGCCAAACATATGGAACCACCTGATCTTGCACTTTTAGCTTCCCAAACAGTAGCTACATAAATCTATTTTCTTTATCAAGTGCCCAGGATATTCCTGAAGTCCAAACAGCATGCCAACTCTGCGCTGCTC